ATGATGAGGGCAATGAATGTACAAATGCGCTTTACACAATTGATGTATGTATGGATTGTGATAAGGGTTGTATGAGCCCATAAGAAAATGGTTTAAAAAAAAAAGAAAATACAGGTAAGGGGGGAGCAGACAGGGAGGGGATAAAATGAGGACCTGATGCCAGGTGCTTAAGTGGAGAGCAAATATTTTGAGAATGATGAGGGCAATGAATGTACAAATGTGCTTTACATAATTGATGTATGTATGGATTGTGATAATAAGAGTTGTAGGCGCCCCTAATAAAATGATTAAAAAAACAAAAACAAAAACAAGATGAGGATGTGATCAGGGGCAGATGTTTCCTTCAGAGTGGGCCAGCCTGGAACAGCAGCATCAGGAAGCTGGATCCCCACCAGCTGAAGGAGGGGAGGGCAGACTGCCCGGTCGCCATCCAGTGCCCCTCACACCTACTCTCTGCATTTCCCTGGCCAAGGAAGTGGAAACCAGCCCAGCTTCTTCCAATCCAGGCCAGCTTCTTTCTTATACAGTAACCCAGCTCCAGAGATCTACAGAAATCCTGACTGTCCAACTCTGGCAAGTTACTTAGCTCCGCCAGGCCTCTTGCTTCCGAAGGATGTGATAATAATGAAAACCCAACCTTGTAAGATTGTTACAAAGATGAGGGACATCCATGTAGAAAACTCTCCGAAGGTGGGACCAGGCAGTAAGGGGTTCATACTCATTATTTTCCCTCTCTAGTTCTCCCTCTTCTACCTGAGGCAGTGGGAGCTGATGATCTCTGAGGGTCGCTGCACCATGGGCTCAAACACAAACGAGTGTGAGGGTGGTGCAGGACGAGGCAGGGTGTCCTTCTGTGACACGCAGGGGCCACTGTGCTTCGGAACCTGCTCTCAGGCACCTGGCAACAGCGAGGGCCTCACTAGTTCAGGATGTGTGTGATTTCGATGTGTGCTCCTGCCTTGCCAAGAGGTAGACCGTTCTAAGAGACAAGAAGCAGGCACTTTTGTGTGGCATGCCGTGGTCGAGGGCAGAACATACGGACCCATAAGGGTTTCTGCACAGAATCTTCGTAGGACTTTGCTGTGAGGCTGAAGGTACCAAGCTCTGGACATGTGATGACAGGCTACTATAGCAAGTCCTACCCCATAGCCTGGCTGAAACTCCTCTCCGATGCTCAGCTGGTGACTACTGCTTCTTGCTCCCTCGTGGGCCTGGTCCCTCCTGGGGGATATGACACAGAGCCTGGATCCCACCCTTTTCCCTCGGGGCAGGGGCCACCCACTCACCACCCATGGCTTGTCGCAGAAGTTGTAAATGGATTCCAGCGAGTTGATGCTGGGGAGGCCTGCGTACTGCATGCCGATGATCAGATGGCGGAAGTCTTCATTCTCTGCCATGCCAAAGGCATGCTGCCGGATAAGCACAAAGTCTGGCCGGAAGGACCTGGTAAGAAGGCAGAGACAGGCTTGCCGTGAGCCAGCACGGCAAGCCAAACACCATCTTGTTTCGCATTTCCGAAGTCAACGGCAGAGATAGAGTCTCAGACATCACCTAGTCCAAGCCCTCCATTGTTACAGCATTGTTCCTTTATGGACTGGGAAGTGACGATTTATGCCTTTCCCTAAGGTGCAAGTAACCCCAGGAAGAAAAAGACACGCTCCTGCCCTGGCACTTCAGTGGAAAAGTCTGGGTTGAGTGTGAGTGAGGAGCAGGAGAACCCGAAGCCCCAGAGTTGGTCTTAGAGTCGGTTCCGGTTCCGGCAGACTTTGAAGTCAACACCCTCGGCTGATGTCACCACACTGCCACGGGGAGATCCGTGATCTCAGTGTCCTATTCTGAGTCCTTAACCCTTCTCCCAGGACAGCCAGGGTCTAGGATAGCTGAGGACAGATGCCAGACTTCCCAATGTTATTCTTCTAAAGCGGACGCACGGGAGGGGGACAAACATTTTTTGCAGAATTGAGGTTGAGCAATGGATACAGGAAGCGCTGAGAGCACAGAATGTTCCCTTGCCTGGGAAGCCTCCTGCAGGCTACCTCTAACCAGCCAAGCTCTGTGCAGCTGCTCCCCCGGATCGGGGCCCCCCCATCTTCATGCCTTGACTTCACTGCAACCCCACCATCCCGAAGAGGTGATATGTGACAGTATCCACACCCCCTCAACCCCACCCCACTCCCAGTCACAAAGTGCTAGGACTCAGTGGTTTTACATCATGTGCCCAGACAGCCCCTACAGACCTGGCTGCTGGCCCCACACCACACTACTGGCCTTTTAAAGTGGCGCCCTACTCAGGGGGCTTACTATAGGGTCAGCATAGCATCTGCTACAGAGACCCTGTCCTCCTTGTGTCCTGATTTTAAGACGTTGGCGACCGCTGTGTTCCTGCGCACAAACTCTAACATTGGGTCCAAGTTATGGGATTTGAGGCTCAGACTGTAGCCAACTCTGTTGCTGATTCTCAGAAAAAGCTGCCTGGTTCTTGCCAGTTCCCTCCAGGATCCCTGCAGCTGCACCTGCAGGCTGTCACCACCTGCTGGGTGCCCGGAACCCTCTGTCCACAGTCTCTCCTCCTACCTCCTTCAAGTGTACCTTACCAGGAGGAACGCTTTGTGTTCTGTCTTCTGCTGAGAGTGGGTGAGCTCTGATTTCTCCTTGTTCAGTCCCAAACACACCCCAATCTTGCCTTTGCTGCCACTGACCCATTTGTAGACCCTCCCTGTAGGCCTCGGGCTATTTCAAAGGGAGGTGAGGTAGAGAAGACTCCATCTTCCTGGACATCTGAAGCCATGGCGAACTCCTGGGACCCACTGCACTGGGGAAGCCATATCCTCACATCTGGAAATCTAACCGTTTCTCTCACAGAAGTCTGAGTGCCCAGCACGACCCCAAGGAATCCTGGCGGGGTGGTGACGATGAACTGAGCTGCAAACCCATTGGCAGGGATGAGGCTTTCTCGTCAGCCTGAGCTCTCAGGGGGAGGGACCAGCATGCGCTCTGATGTGCACTTGCTGGTGAATCTGAGCAAACCAACTTGAACTGGGTCAGAGGCTTTCAAACTTGTCTGGTTTTAAAGCCGTGGAATTGTGTTTTCTCAGAGGTTGAAGCACAGAGCTGCGTGGACTGGGTGCATGGGCAGGGCCCAGCATCCCTCTGCCAGGAACCCAATGACCTCTAAGGGAGCTCCGAGTTGGTGAGAGCCAAAGGCCCATTCTCTCTGCCACTGGACTGGACTAAAAGCCCCACCCCAGGGCAGGTCCTGGCCTCCTCCGCACACCCCATGAAGTCCTCGATCCCACCCTAATCCCTGACTTTGAAACTAGCCCCCACCCCAATAGCAAGGAGGGGTAACTCTGGAGCCCGTACCAGTGACCCTGAGGCCAGAAAGGACCTTACCGGACCACCTTCGTGCCATTCCGCAGCACCTGCATATCCACAGCATAGGTCCCATCTGCATGGGCCACCAGGTTGAGCTCTGAGAATTCTGCCTGGAGAACGACAGTAGAGGAATAAATCTGTAACCCAGACTTCGCCAAGCCCTCCCCGCAGCTGCAGAAGCGTTCCTGTCCCCTAACAGGAATCCATTGACAGATTTCCAAGCACTTCCACGGACTGACCTCCTCTGGTTCTCACAGCAACCCTGTGAGGCAGGTGGGGCAGAAAGAATCACCCCCACTCACCAAAGGATGAAATGGAGCCCCAGAGTGGTCCAGTGACTTTTCTGGACGAGAAACAGATCGTTGGCCAAGAGGAGAGTACAACCAGGCTTGCTGACTCCAAGCCCAGCATGCCTTGGGCAGCCTCTCTGCACAGCCAAGGTGCTCCTGGGGCAAACACCCCCTTGTCAGTTTTGGCACAAATGCACTAGGCGACAGTTTAGGGAAGTGTTTGAGTGAAACCCCCCAACTGGCTGCCTGAGATGTTAGGCAAGCTACGTGTCCTCTCTGGGGTTCAGTTTCCCCCCATCTACAGACTGGCACTCCTTCTTCGCCACCATGCCCATCAGATGTTGCTTTAAGAAGTGAAGGAGAACTGGGCAGCAGAGTGCCTTCTCAGTCATGCATGTGCGGCGCGATGGAACCACATGTATTGTCAACTGAATACCCCTCCTCAACTTGCCCAGGGGGAGACTGGCAACGTGCACAAAAAATGAGGAGGCGTTCTTTTCTAAGCTCCACGGGAGCCGCCTCAGGGCCCAGGTTAAGGGTTGCTGGGGGTAGCTCACCTGAGTGCCCTACCTGGGCCCACCCCTCTCACTCCACCAACAATCTTGAAGGATGACCAGGGTCCTAGGGAGACATCCTCTGAGTTTTCCCTCCACCTGAGAGCCCTGAGAGCCACACTGTTGGCCTCCCTGCCAGGACTAGGAGTCAGGGGAGTGAACTGAGGCAGCCTGCAGAACTGGGCAGCACAGTTGGGGAGAAAAGCCCTAGGGGGAGCCGGGAGGGGTGACCCAGGGCCCAGGGACCACACTATGCTGTGCGGCACAAGGAGCTGATTCTCTCTGGGATGCCAGGACAAGGCAGTGATGTCAGAGACGCTGTCCTGAGCTTCAGGCTGATTACCTGTTCCACTTTGATATCAAAATCTCCAAGGACTTTTTTGCCCCGAAAGCACTTGGCCCTGGAGAAAGGAAACACAAAAACAAAAACCCCCCACACAGGTTAGTTTTGTCCAGGTGTGTGAGGCCTACAGCAAGCAGAGCCTCCAACTCAGGCCCCATCACCTAGAGACCTCATACAGCCTGCTTCCTCTCTTCTCGCCTTCATCCGCCCACCGAGAAAGACCCCGGGGTGGCACAATAAGCAAGGTGCTCAGCTGCTAACCGAAAGGTCAGCCGTTCCAGCTCAGCAGCCAATCTGGAGGAGAAAGTTGGGGCCGCCTGCTTCTGTGGGATTTAGAGCCCCGGGAGGCCAGTGGGGCAGGGCTGCTCTGAACTGTATGGTTGCTGTAAGTGGAAATCCACTCAACAGCAAAGAGTTCGGTGCGGCTGCTCAAAAAGCGATCCAAATAGGGCCTTTCATACTCAGGTTTTGTGATGTTACAATAACATCTCTCATCTGCTGGCTCCAAAGGTAGACGGAGATGATGGCCGATGCTCTTCTTGCTAAGGGCTAGCTCAGGCTTACAAATCTCTCTGGCTTCCTTATCCCTGACCCTGCATCGATTGCAAGGTCTGCTTTTCCAGTTGGTTTCTACCCTTGGAATTTGTGTTTGTAAAGAAACTCTTTCTACTCATACATCCAAAAAGAATATAAAGAGACTTGTTATTGAAAAGGCAAATAGAACCAACCAAGCAAGGATATGGTATGAATGAGAGGGAGATCATTATATCCGGGGGTGTGGGGCGGGGGGTGGGGGTGGTGGGGGTGGTTAGCTTAGTGCTGAGTAAAACTACAGCAGACGAATCCAAGACGCATCCTGGATTTCTGAGTGGCCGAGAAAATCAACTGAGCCGAGTTACAAGTATTCCCATCTTCCTACTTGGGCGAGGATGCACAGGAAGCCCACACCGATGGCACTGCAGCCCCCTTTGTGTGACTGTGCTGGCGCCGATACTCACTCCTACTTGCCCCTCACCAAGTCCACCGTCAGGTTTGCTTATCTGCTCATTTTGGCTGATTCTTAGTATCAAGGGCCTGGGTAGGCTGCACCTGTTAGCTAGGTTGGGCTTGCTTTTCCTGTGCTTGACATTTTCAAACGGGCACATTTCACTGGAGGCGTTCTGGTAGCCCCTCCTATGAACAATCGTAAATATAGCACACCAGTAGGAATGAACCAGTCTTTGTTGGACAGCGTACTCTAGGAATTCCCTCCCAGGTGCCTTCAAGAGCATCTCCTGTCATCTTTGTCACAGTTGAAAAGGTGGAGAGACCAGTCATCGTTTTAGGGACAAGGAAACCAAGATGCAGGAGTCACGTGGCACAGTCAAAGCCAGACGGCAAGTTAGTGGCAGAGCCGGATGACACCCTCAGGCCGACAGGACCCAGAGTGCAGTGCCCGTCCTGCTGCACAGCCCTGGCTCCCTCCAGGATGCATCCACTCCATCCTCACTTCCCCGCTGAGAAGCTGGGTTGTTTCCCGGCCCCGGCCCCCCTCCCACCTCCATTTTCCCTCATCTGTCCAAAAGGAACTTAATGATGTTGTGAGCACCAGCCCCACGACACTTCCTACCCTGGTTCCTGTCAACTACCCTACTCCAGGCCAGGCTATTTCCTTTCTTTTCTCGGTTCTGGAACAGTTTGTTCCAGGAAGCTGTCATTTGTCCTCCCCAAGTCCCTAGTCACCCTCAAAGTGCTCCTCAGAGGCCCTCAGCCTGCTTCTCCATCCCCTCCCTCTGCCCCAATTCCTGACTGAGCCCCGTGGGCTTGCTTCCAAGACCCTGATCACCATTCACAGATCAGGCAAGCCCCTTGGGCCGGGGCCTGTAGCATTTCCCATCCCTCTGGCTATTAAGATCTTATTTAGGGTTAAATCTGGGGTGGAGAATGTCCGGTGGCCCACAGGCCGTCTGAGGTCCACAAAGTCATCAATCCCAGATAACACCACCCGCTTCACCAAAGAGAGGACATCCAGTCGGCATGTTAGAGGGAGTTTAATGAAATGTTTGACCGGTGTGATGCTGTAAACATTCAAATGGCCCTTGGCAGAACCAAAAGGTTCCCTACCCCTGGATTAATTGAAGGCACTTGGTAGTGCTACCTGGTATTAGCACCGCTTTGCGATCTGAGGCTCTTTGTAGGGGCTTATCCACAACTGGACGAAGGAGGGCCGTGAATCTTGGCCTAGGGATTCCCAGGACTTCCTTGGTTTGGCAAGGCTGTCTTCACCCAAATAGGCAGGCTTATTTCCCAAGGCTTTCTCCTCCCACTGCCCTGCCTCAAAATAGCTCCTTCTGTGAGAGAAATCTCAGCGGTATTAACAATGGCCTATCATGTCATCGGTGGCTCTGCGTGTTTACCACACACCCTTCACCTGGTTTCTCACCACTCTGTGAAGCAGACAGGCCAGACAGTGCCAACCAGTATTGACCAACAAGGGAAAACTGAGGCCGCAATCAGATCAGCCGCATACACAGGTCACAGGAAAGCACGCAGGACTGGGGCCTCGAACTCAGAGCTGACCCTGGGTCCTAATGTGCTGACAAGTTGTCCGATTCCCCCATTTTGTTTTGTGGGCTTTGAACACTGAGGGTTGAGTGTATTTATAGACGCTGGCTGAGCTTAGCTGCCACTTCCTGCACCTGCCCAGTGACCAACTTGGCGAATGAAACTGTTTTCATGGTTTCCCCCCACCCCCACTTCTCCAATATCCTAATGCCTTTTCCTTAAGGTAATTTGTCCTGTTGGAAATCTTAGTCTGTGTTTCCTGCCCCAGGTCACCGACCTCTCCTGGCCGCGGCACAATCTCACAGAGAAGGAGCCAAGGTGGCAGGCAAATGGGGCACAGAGCCCTCTTCTGGCGAAGGATTACATTCTTAGCTATTGAGACATTTTGATTCCAAGTATTGCCATGAAAAACTTTGATTCTTATAAGCAAGCAGCAGAAACACTTCCTGGTAAGGAGAGGACCCTGGCCGGAGGCAGTGAGTGCGCTCTGGGATCTTAGTGCCGTCCTCTCCCTCTGCCCTTTGCTGGCGGTGTGACCCTAGGCAAACAGTGGGGACCACACAAACAGCACAAAAGTAGTCCGTCCTATGGCTGAACCAATCAGTCTGCATCTTCGAAAGTATTTAGAGGAATAAAGTAAAAAATGAAATGTTTCTCCTTCCTCATTCTTTCTCTTATCACAGATCTTCACCATTATCAGTTTCAGGCTTTTCTTAGCATTTGGGGGAAGAAAAATGTATGGCACCATATTAGATAAACTTCGTTTTTAAAAACTGATATGGAGACACATTAAAAAATACATCTTAGTGGCATGTTTTCAGCACATGTCGCTAGGCCTTTCTTTTGAACCGTGGCATACAATTCCACTTCAACCATGCACATACGAGTTTAACCAATAATTTATTGGTGGACATTTACACTTGCAGCTCTTTAAATTTTGTTTTGTATTTTGCAATTACAGACAGGGTTCTGATGGCTTACATTTAAGAATCTCATCAAGGAATACATATAGTGACGGTTTTCACTGAGACTATCTAACTGCCCCCCAAACACACACACACACACACACACACACACACACACACACACGAGAATGAAGAAAGGGGAGTGACACCCCTCTCACTGGCGGCTGTTTGGGAAAGTGACGTCCCCTCCTCTGTTTCCTCCACGGCAGCTCACACATATTGGACACACAGAAGATGCGCATTAAGGACTTGCTGACCAGCAGCCTTGTGCTGGTGCTCAATCCTAAACAAGATGTACATCCTTGAAACACAGACTAAAAATATCTATGGTGCCTGTGTTGTCAATTTCCCCCCATTGTAACCTTTTCTTAACAAGCCTAGCAGCTGAGGATCTAAGTGAATTTAATGGCTTGTAGCTTCCTTGATGGGCCCAGGTAATAAACCATCTCCCATCTTATTGCTGACTGACCAGAGGCTTCTAGATTTAACTCTTCCTAGTCATGGCAGGGGAGGTCGATGAGGCCCCTGCTCCCATCAAGAGCTGCAGTCTTGGAAACTCACAGCGCTAGTTCCACCCTGTCCTGTAGGGTGGCTGTGAGCTGTAAGAGACCTGGTGGTACCAAGTTTGGAATTCTGGAATCAGAGCAATGACCACCTTCATCAATTCCCATCCACTGGCCAAGCAGGAGCAGGATTTAAGCAATTTTTCTGCTCAGGCCACTTCTAAACCCGGCTGTATTCAGGCAAGCCCAGGTTAAATCCTCTCCTTTTCCATGTGGAAGCATGGAGACAGAACTCTAGAATACAATCAAGGAGTACTAGGGTTCTCAGTTGGATGATGTGGGCAAGTCACTGTCATTCTGTGCCTCAGTTTCCTCAAGTATGAAATAGGGGACGTCCTCGTCTTAGTAACAGTCATCATCATGCGGCACTGTCTGTTTGCATGATCTTTTCAATACTCGCAGTGGTTGTGAAGGCAATGAACCCATAGGAGAATCATTGATATAGAAATGTTTTGAAAACTCTTAAGTATTATGCAAATACAACGTGTTTTCAAGTAAAATTCAACAAATACTGAGGTGCCAAGTATTGTGCTTTTTACTGTTGACACAGCCAACCCACGTTCTTTCTCTTTAGGACCTCAATCCCATTGATTGCTTTTGCGTGTTTTGGCTTACAGCATCAATTTGATACTGCTTTTCCAAGCCAGTTTTCTAACCATCTCTGACGGCCTCCTCCCCAGCCCTGACTACCACAGCATGTAATAATGCTTGAGAATAAGGACCATGCCATATGTGAACCCCTAATTTCACACGGCAGTTTGGATTTTAAATATTGATCATGTCCCACTGTGAAATAACACTCTTTGAGCTAAGGTGCCCTTGTGGTGTAGTAGTTAGGCATGCTGCTAATTGCAAGGTTGGCGATTTGAAACCACCAGCTGGCCCTCAGGAGAAAGATGAGGCTTTCTACTCCTATAAGAGCTACAGTCTCAGAAACTCACAGGGGCAGTTCTACTCTGTCCTATAAGGTTGCTATGAGTTGACATCAACTCAGTGGCAATAAGTG